TGAATTAATAAGCGCCTTAACTGTCACGTCACGTATTATGCATTGCTTGCAGGTTCGCTAACCACGCCGCCCTGCTCCGAGGCTGTTACCTGGATACTGTTTCCCGATCCCATACCCATATCGCCCAAGCAGGTGAGTGCAAGGTGCATGATGCGTGGCGTACAGAGCGTATGAGTTATGCTTCTTCTGTTTGTCTTTGACAGATCTCACGCTTCCGCCAGCTGTCGGATACCCAAGATGGCGCCTTGGTGGACAACTTCCGCACCCTGCAGCCGGTGGGCAATCGTCGCATATTCGCGCGCACTGGACACGTGCGGCATACATCAATTGCGGCTCTAAAGCACGAGGGCGATTATCTCAAATATGATTGGTTCTATTGAGCGGCTAACTGAATGCGGCCCCAGACCGTAGTGCTCTGTGCCATGAACATATATGTGTATATGTATATAGATTAATTTAAACTAAGTTTTTGCATTTAATATTTAAATGTAAGCTAACAACTCTCACTCAATAAGTAAACAATTCTATGCTATTAGCCGTGTTTTGCGACCGTAGAGCACCAGCGAATTGGGTATGTCCTCCACAAAGAAATTGGCTGGCATCACATTGAACATCTTCCTCAGCAGATCGAGCAATGTGTGCTCCAATGTTTCTACAATAAGTGGACGCAGCGTTTCATAGAAATCTTGCCAGTTTTCATTGAAGAACTCATTCGTGCTGCGCTCCACCTCCTTGCTGTGGCCATTGAACAGATTGTCCAAATATGTCCGAACGCGACCCACTTCCAGCTTAACGGTCACCGCGGTCACATTATAGAAAGTGTATCCGCCCTTCTCGTACAGTCGCGTCTTCGCTTTCATCAGTATGTCCAGATCATCTGTCATAGAGGCGGAGGAGGAGGATATGAGTCTCTTTTTTACTTGTAATTTATAGTGTTTAGCTATCATTACCAATCTCTATAAATATGCTACCGGATCCGTGAAGGGGAATTATTAAAATGCGTCCGAGCATCTTGTAAGTGCCATTCATGCGCAGGCGTGGTATATAAATTTTGTCCTCCCAACTAAAATCCTTCTTGCTTACCCTGAAATGTGGATTAATAATTTTCTTATATTTATTTTTTATCGATGAAATATATGAGAGTGGGTTTGTCTGAGAGCTATCCTGTGCATTTGCAGATTTGTATCTTTAGAAATGTTTTAAAAGTCATTTATTAGCTTATTTATCATATTATATCATATCATCAAATATGATACAGACAGAATCTTTGTATTCAAAACAATTTGTTTTTAAGATGTTTTAACCAAGCTTGCTAAATTACGACTTACACAATATTTTAAATATCGCAGTCAAATTTTATAAACATTGATCTTTTATATTTTATAGCACCAATGGGAAAGGTCGGTCAAAATTGAGTTTAGACATGAGAGAAATTCTTGTTTTTTAAGTTATGTTAACTGAACTATTCAATTATTATTATATGCCCCAAAGAACCCACACATGCTTAACATCAGACAACTTAATCATATATCGTAAGAAAATATTTGCATTATTTAAAATCAACAGATGGAAAAGTCCGAAGTTATGTGGCATCATTTGTAAGATTTACTAAACCCGTAACTCTATCAATCAATATATTAATTTTTCTAATTCTCAATTCAGACTAGAAATGGCATGTGTCTATAAGCTTGAGGGAAAAAATGACATTAATGAAACAAGTCGCCATGTGACCTTAACGAGCTACCTTTATTATGCATTAGCTCAATATTAATAGTTAGGCCGAGCCGAGTGCAAAGTGTGCTGAGAACGTCATGAGGTACTCACTTGCTCTCCTTGACAACCATTTTGCCCAGGCCGCGTACTATTAAATTGGTTAGATTTGCCGAAATGGAAGCCACATCGCTGTCCTCCTGCTTGAATGTCAGCTGATCTTGTTTCATTGGATCTAAGGGTCCGAAAGACTCTTCAATTTCGGGTATGCCTGTTTAATTTAAATCAAGCTGTATTTGTGTGGCCTTGAAGCATTCAATTAGCAGCTGCTCACCTTTGATGACCGCATTGAGGAATCCCTGAATGGAACGCGTTGAGCAGTTCGTAAAGTCGGGCTCATGAATGCGACACGATTCGATATATGCGGCTGTTGTTGTTGTAAGTAAATTATTTAATTAATTCACACATTTTTCGATAAATCATAATGTATTTAGGCTGAAAAACAGCCAAATCACAAGCACACACTTTTAATTAATCAGTTCGATATAATTAAATCAATAGCCACTGGACGCACTTACGCTTTTCCGTATAGTATGCCAGCCCCTCGACATATACGAGGCCCACACACATATAGACTAAACCAATTACGAGTATTCGTGTGCTGGTCGTTTTGAACATCGTTAAAATAGGAATAGAAAATAAATAAAAAAAAAAATCCGTGTTTTTTGCCGTCACTGTCACCAGCCAATCGAGTTAGCCGCGTTCAAATGAGATATATTTCCCCGAGTAGCTGAAACTTATATGTCCTATAGCATCTAACTGCATTGACTGGTTTAAGTTTTTATACCCTAAGCCCCTTGAAAGTGAGTAAAGAGGGTATAATGGATGTATGGAATATACAGCTCCGACCATCGATAAATATCGATTATCATTTTGATTTAGAGTTAGATTCAACAAATGTTGTAAGTGGGTTTACGTAAAGTAAATATTCATTTAAAATATTTTACAATTTTTAAATTATGTTTTATGTTGAAAGGTAGCGCCTTGCACTTTGGAATACACACACAGTTGAATGCCATATTGAAGACCTGACAAATTTTAAAATTATCGGACTACATACACCGAAGTTATTCAAGTGGTATATGTGTAAGATAAAGGACAGCGTTATGCGTATGCGCATGTGTGTGTTACCGAGCTTGGTGCTGCGTTTAGGGTATCCACTAGTTGGTCACTCTGTTCTCAAGTGCTCTAGCACTCGGACTTGTTTCCATACTTTATATGAATATTATAACGACTCGACATACTTGCCCTGAGCGCTGACTGAGTCTGTAGCGAGTCGGTCAATTATTTTTATATAATTCTGGAAAATACGTCGACTAGTTGAGCTTTTCTATCTTTGTAGAAACAAATATGTTTTTCATACCTGTACTAAAAGAGTAGATATGCACGATGCGCTAAATTGTTTTTTACTCTATTCTGAATCAGAACATTATTTTAAATTATAAAATATTTTAACTAATCAATGGATATGACGCAAAATGTATGCATATATGGCAGCAAATTGGTTTAAAACCGAACTATTTCGAACGTCGTATAATCAAATTACTGAATCAGGAATAGGTTTATTTTCGCTAAGAAGAAACACGCCTAACCAGATTTTTGTAACAAAAATGTTGTAAAATTAGATAATATTTTCTCAAAATATGAAGAGTGATTAAAACTAAAAAAATATATTTATGAGTGTTTCATAATTCGCGTACACGAACAAAATTGGATTACAGTAAATGTGACGCCAATGCAAATAAGGGGAATTTCTTAAAAATATATTTATATAAATACATAAATGAATGAAAGAAGATAGTTGGTATATTTTTGCAATTAATATGATATAATTGAGTCACACAACAAGTATTTATGTGCTTAAGTTTCCATTTATTGTTTTGTATACACTCCACATGCTTCCTCTAATAGCTGTTAATCGGGCGACTATATATATTACGAGTATGACGTTTCATGGAAATTCCACTAGCCTAGTTTACAGATATTGCTTTAACGATTACTCGATGTTCTTATACTTATGTATACATACGTGCCTCCGTTTTGTTTTGTATTTAGTATATATTTTTATGCGATTGTAGTAAATATTACATGATCATCATTTTCTTTGATACAGAATGTGACATACTTTGTAACCTAATAAAATGGATTCAAAGCTGTTTTTATAGTTACTCTAAACCCCAATTGCAGATATCCAACTGTCACATGAGGCTTGGGCTTTTTTTCTTATTTTAGATTTATATGCTATGTACTTACAAATTGTATTGACTCTACTATACAAGCTGTTGGATAAGTGTATTCAAAGCTTCGGATAGAATGATTAGCAAGTTCCATCGTGGGCTTGAAATGGTAGATATGGGTAGCAAAGTTCAGGCGTTGTCCGCATGGTTAAATTTGCGATAAGAATTCAACATAAGTATACAGATACAACTGCACTGTAAAAAATTTGAATACACAAACATTTTATTTATATAAGTTAAGTTTAAGAAGTTGCCGCAAAGTTGAGAATATATACAGCTTGAATAACTGTTGAAAATAAGAACCAGTATATATATATATATATATATACTTTGCAAACTAGGGAATAAGCGTTGTGTGCAAATGTTGTAACAGGCAGAGAGAAGCTGACTATCGCTCTTATATAAATTCCCGATCGGGATAATGTGATGTGTTTATCTGGCCTCCCGTACGTAAAATAACATTTATCTCTGGTATTAAAGGCATATCTTAAAGCTTCAAGGAGCTGAAGTTAACAAACATTTTACTCAGATCCATAATTGATCACTTGCTGTATTTCTTCTAATATTCTACCTTTATTTCAGCAATAGAATGTTTTCAGGAGAAAATGTATTTATTGTCTTGTATATATGTTTCTTAATATCGATAAATATTTGCACAAGTAATTTAAAGGCATATCTTGGAGATTGTATGCCCTTTACTCAAATCCTAACAAATATCACTTATTGGAATCTTCCCGCATTCTCCATAAAAGTAAACTATAATGTAAGCAGACTAAATAAGTAAGTAATTTGAAAGTATAACTCGAAGTAGCCTCTCCCGTTGGCTAGAAGCAATCTTATTTTGAACGCTTATTTCATTTTCTTGCAATTTTCCTCATTTGATTTTGCAAGTGTAAGATTTTGTGTGCGAGGCGCATTTAGGCGGGATCCAAGCTATGCAAAACATTCTGCCAACTGTGCGATATCTCCACGCTCTCGAATTCTTCCCGCAGTCTCATTTCTTAGTGGATCAGATCGGATCAGAGCATTGCTGCACAATGTTAGTTCGGCATATACTCATACATATTGTATTGCCCAGTTTTGTGTTGGCACAAATTTGTGTCCGAACGGATCATAAAAAGGTTAAAGGCAAAACCATAGTAAGTTAATTAATTAATATAGAATTCTGCCATAAATCATTTCATAATTAAAAACTTAAAAATACATTTTAGAATATAAGAGTAAAGTATTGCTGCACGGGCTATAAACGTCTGACGGGCAACATTTTAAGGTGTGTGCCGCAATGTCGTCAGAATTGTGGCAGCGGCATATGCTCAAAACCAAATACATGCAGCTGTAATAGGGGCTATGAGAATCTCAACCATTTGCCATCCAATCGGTAAGTTGTAGACTTGAAGTTAATAACATCCATAAATCTGATCCTCGCTTTCAATTCCAGTTGCGTGCCCCAATGCAAGGGTGGCTGCACGAATGGACGTTGCATATCGCCGGATAGGTGCATCTGCGCCAACGGGTACGAGCTCGATGGGGCAACCGGATATTGTCTGCCAATCTGCAGCGGCGGCTGTGCCAATGGCCACTGCAAATCACCAGGAAACTGCGTCTGCAATAAGGACTACACCTTAAATATCAATACTAAGATATGTCAACCCGATTGCAAGCCTGGTTTCCAGCTGAACGAGACCTCAAACACTTGCCAACCAATATGTAGTAAGGGCTGCGATAATGGAATCTGTCGTGCCCCGGAAACTTGTGAATGCAATACGAATTATCAGAAAGGTCCCGATAACAGCTGCTTGCCCATATGTAAAAACGATTGCCTAAACGGCAAATGCGTGGCCCCAGGAATATGTGAATGTCTCGCAGGACACGTGAAAATAAGTGACTCCATGTGTTTGCCAGACTGCAAAAATGGCTGTATGAACGGATTCTGTAGTGCGCCAGACGTGTGTACCTGTAATAGTGGGTACACAAATGAGACTGGGAACAATTGTCAGCCGGTATGTGAAAACGGATGTGAGAACGGATATTGCAGTGCGCCAGGTGAATGCACTTGTGACGAAGGCTACAGCAAAGTCAGTGAGAACAGATGTGCTCCTGTGTGCGAGGAGGGATGTGAGAACGGATTCTGTAGTGCGCCAGGGGAATGCACGTGTCATCAAGGATATTCTTCAGTGAGTGCGAACAGTTGTGCACCAGTGTGCATGGACGGATGTGAGAACGGATACTGCAGTGCACCAGGTGAATGCACTTGTGACGAAGGCTACAGTAAAGTCAGTGAGAACAGATGTGCACCTGTGTGCAAGGACGGCTGTGAGAACGGATTCTGTAGTGCGCCAGGGGAATGCACGTGTCATCAAGGATATTCTTCAGTGAGTGCGAACAGTTGTGCTCCGGTTTGCAAGGACGGATGTGAGAACGGATTCTGTAGTGCGCCAGGGGAATGCACTTGTGACGAAGGCTACAGTAAAGTCAGTGAGAACAGATGTGCACCAGTGTGCAAGGACCGATGTGAGAACGGATTCTGTAGTGCGCCAGGGGAATGTACTTGTCATCAAGGATATTCTATAGTGAGTGCAAATAGTTGTGCTCCAGCTTGCAATGATGGATGTGAGAACGGATTCTGTAGTGCGCCTGGGGAATGTACTTGTCATCAAGGATATTCTATAGTGAGTGCGAATAGTTGTGCTCCAGTTTGCAAGGATGGATGTGAGAACGGATTCTGTAGTGCGCCTGGGGAATGTACTTGTCATCAAGGATATTCTATAGTGAGTGCGAATAGTTGTGCTCCAGTTTGCAAGGACGGATGTGAGAACGGATTCTGTAGTGCGCCAGGGGAATGCACTTGTGACGAAGGCTACAGTAAAGTCAGTGAGAACAGATGTGCACCTGTGTGCAAGGAGGGATGTGAGAACGGATATTGCAGTGCGCCACGTGAATGCACTTGTGACGAAGGCTACAGCAAAGTCAGTGAGAACAGATGTGCACCTGTGTGCAAGAACGGATGTGAGAACGGATTCTGTAGTGCGCCAGGAGAATGTACTTGTCATCAAGGATATTCTTCAGTGAATGCGAACAGTTGTGCACCAGTGTGCAAGGATGGATGTGAGCACGGATATTGCAGTGCTCCAGGTGAATGCACTTGTGACGAAGACTACAGTAAAGTCAGTGAGAACAGATGTGCACCTGTGTGCAAGGAGGGATGTGAGAACGGATTCTGTAGTGCGCCAGGGGAATGCACGTGTCATCAAGGATATTCTTCAGTGAGTGCGAATAGTTGTGCTCCAGTTTGCACGGACGGATGTGAGAACGGATTCTGTAGTGCGCCAGGGGAATGCACTTGTGACGAAGGCTACATTAAAGTCAGTGAGAACAGATGTGCACCTGTGTGCAAGGAGGGATGTGGGAACGGAGTCTGTAGTGCGCCAGGGGAATGTACTTGTCATCATGGATATTCTTCAGTGAGTGCGAATAGTTGTGCTCCAGTTTGCAAGGACGGATGTGAGAACGGATTCTGTAGTGCGCCAGGGAAATGCACTTGTGACGAAGGCTACAGCAAAGTCAGTGAGAACAGATGTGCACCTGTGTGCAAGAACGGATGTGAGAACGGATTCTGTAGTGCGCCAGGAGAATGTACTTGTCATCAAGGATATTCTTCAGTGAATGCGAACAGTTGTGCACCAGTGTGCAAGGATGGATGTGAGCACGGATATTGCAGTGCTCCAGGTGAATGCACTTGTGACGAAGACTACAGTAAAGTCAGTGAGAACAGATGTGCACCTGTGTGCAAGGAGGGATGTGAGAACGGATTCTGTAGTGCGCCAGGGGAATGCACTTGTGACGAAGGCTACAGTAAAGTCAGTGAGAACAGATGTGCACCTGTGTGCAAGGAGGGATGTGGGAACGGATTCTGTAGTGCGCCAGGAGAGTGTACTTGTCATCAAGGATATTCTTCAGTGAATGCGAACAGTTGTGCACCAGTGTGCAAGGATGGATGTGAGCACGGATATTGCAGTGCTCCAGGTGAATGCACTTGTGACGAAGGCTACATTAAAGTAAGGGAGAATAGTTGTGAACCAGTATGCGAAGACGGGTGCCCCAACGGTTTTTGTGAATCTCCTAATTGCTGCAGCTGCAATGAAGGCTACATAAAGTTTGAAAATGTTTGCACGCGTCAATGGGATCACACAAAAAGATCAACTACCGGAGCTCCGGCGCAAACGGAAGTAATTGATATTTGTGAGCAACGGTGCTGGAATGGAACCTGTGTGGATGGCCGATGCAGTTGTGGGGAAAATTACAGACTGACAGAAGATCCACGGAATGCTACAAAATTTCTTTGCCTACCCGAGTGCGAGGAGGAGTGCGTACATGGCTATTGTGCATATCCCGGCGTGTGCGTCTGCTATGATGGCCAGACGCCACAAGCAGGTGTTGAATGTCCAAGTTTTAGAGGCACAGAAAATGCAGGTCGAACTGCCAGCATGAATATTTTCATCAAAAATTGGTTATTTTTGGCCTTAGTGGCCGTGGCTGTGGTGCTGGTGGTGATCATATACGTGATCATGTATGCACTTAGGCAACGGGACTACAGAGTGGACGAGAAGGGTGAGTAATATCGGCAAAGCTGCCAGATCTATAACTCATGAGTTCTTCTCTCTTCTCTTCTTTACAGAACAAAGATATGGCGTTTACTTTTCGGCAAAACAAGCTGATATAATACGTGCCTGAGACTACGTAATGTGTGTGTCAATCTTTCGAGAAGTGCACAGAAATGTCGTACTTACCTTAAATTCTAAAAGAAGACAGTTAATGAACTAATTACTGATTGATGTATATGCTTTGGCAAATTATAAGCTATATTATACACATGTGCATTCGAATTAACATCAGTATTACGAGTTTTAAATTTTCTAAGCTGGTTTCTAGTTTTTATAATGAAATATATATTAGTGAGTATTTTATTTTTATATGCACTCTACCCATTGAAAAAAAAATCGAAAAACGCTTGAACACACAGTACAGGCTTGATTTTTAGTTAAATATTCCATTACGATCGGAAAATAAATACACAAGTTTTCATAGTTTTTGTGTTAAACGTAACGAATGTATTAGGCGAAGCTAGGGAATTTCCAACTCGGACACGCTCGACTAAAGCATGCATACTTGTTTTTAGCTGACTGAAAGGTAGCCTGTTTAATATTTATGATTTATCACCCACTTTGCCATAGAGCTGCTGCGGCGTAGGAATATCCTCAATAAAGAAATTAGCCGGTATCAGGTGGAATACCTTTGACATTACATCAAAGAATATGTTCTCTACAGTTTCGAGAATAAGCGGCTTCAATGCCTCGTAAGATTCGCGCCAGTTGTCGTTAAAGAACTGATTCGTGCTGCGCTCCACCTCTTTGCTGCGTCCATTGAACAGATTATCGAAATGGCTGCGCACACGGGTCATATTCAGCTCCACCCGGACGGAAGTCACATTATCGAAGGTGAAGCCACCCTTTTCGTACAGCACCGTCTTGGTGCGCAGCAGTATGTCGAGGTTCTCTGCAAAAACATATTTGGTAATCGAATTTATCCATATACATTTTTGGCATTAATATATACCCACACTTACCCATCTCTAGGAACATATTGCCTGTACCACTTAGTGGTATTAAAAGTATGCGACCAGCCATCTGATACTTGGCATCCAGCCGCATTTTGGGCAGAAAGATTTTGGTTTTCCAGCTAAAGTCCTTTTTGCTTATACTGAGAATACATAAATAATGAATATATTTATATATAGGTTTTTTCTCTTCCATCCATGTATTCTGTGTGCTGTTTTCGTGTCAATTATAATTCGACACTTATTCATATAACAAGTAAGATTGACCCAGTTGAGAATGCTCGACTAGAATATACCCAGCTCACGCAGCAGCTGTGCTGCTTCCCTCCACTATGCGAAACGCTCAAATGTGTCCAAATATCAATGCACAGGACAATTAGTCCAAAATGTAATTTTTGTTTACAATTTCGTGGAGAATGGGGATGGTATATAAGAAATGAAATAATTTTAATCCGTGTATCCCGCATGAATACCTATATAACAATTTTGAAGTATTTAGCTCTTATAATCTTCGAGTATTTTCTAAAAACCGATATGTTAAAGTAGATATTTATCGAGGAAAATGAGCGCAGATATCGCACATGACTAGATAGTTAGTTCCTTGTTCCTGTAACTTTCATTTGCACAAAATTCATTTCACCTCAAAAATCTTGTTACGCACCGGCTTTCTTTGATCTTGGCACTACCAAAACCCTTTACGATCACCTCGGTCAGATTGGCTTTTATGGTGGCCACTTCGTTGTTATCCTGTTTGAAATGAATGTCCCTCACGTGCATGGGATCGTATGTTCCGATGCTGGCCACTATCTCCGGTATGCCAATGGTCAGCTGATCCAATAGCTTCTGTACGCTGTGCGTAGAGCAATTGGTAAAGCCCGGCTCATAGATGCGACACGATGGCAAAAACGATGCTATAATTGACACATAATGTCAGTTGAATTGGCCACAATTGAATTCCATCCATGGCCAAACTTACGCTTCTCCGTGAAGTAGTCAACGGCGACGACTCCATTTAAATGACAAATGGCCAGCAAGCCGCAGCAGAATGCAAGCGTGCCTTTCATGCTGACAGCAGGCGAGTATCTAAACGCTAATCCAACTGGCGGCTACTCGATTATATTCAATCTGGGACCAGACCTTATATGAGGCGAACGGAGTGCACTCGGAACGTTCTCGTCGCTGAGCTTTGAGCGCACAATTAAACAGCAAAATGTTAATGTCAAGCGGTTTTATGTCTACTAGAGATCTACTTAGATATTAGCGACAACAAGGTTCGTCTAAGCAGTTAATACGAGCAGCTATATATATATATATACTATACATGAAAAACCACTATATTTATTCATTGAAAGTTGCCGTTATGTATTTATAATTTCTGATTTGCAAATTTTGAAAATCTTTGATAAAACTGTTGCTTAACATCATGTAAATGCAAAATAAATCTATTAAACGAGTTTATAGATTAAAATCCCCGAAATATTCATATGCATAAGAAAATCTTATTTTTTGTTGTATATTTATTCACAAGCGTTTTCATTTAGTTAAAGCAAATTCGCATTGGACAATCAGTGAAAGTTGTGGATAAAGTAGGTGGCCGGCACATAGGCAAATATCTTTTTGGTACGATCCAACAACACCGTCTCAAAGGTCTGCTCAATGGCCGGTCGGAGTACATCGTAGAACTGACGCCAGTTTTCATTGAAAAGCGTATGGGCTGTGCGATCTAGCTCTGCATTATTGCCAAACAAATTTTTTAGCTTAATGTGAAAGCTGCCGATTTCCCGGAAATACACTTTTACACGCTGCACATCCGCAAAAGTGCCTTCGGGTGCGCTGCGTGCTTTAACTGCAATTTCCAGGCCGACGACAACGTTCTCTGCAATCGTATACAATTGGGGTTAAATTACTTTTTGGTATACTTTGCTTACCAGACTCAAAGTAGCCCTTGCCCTGACCATTTAGGTTTAGGGCCAGCACGTGACCCTTGACCTTATAGTCGAATTCGAATCGCAATTTGGGCACAAATATCAGAGCTTTGGCTACATATTTAGATGGGCTGTAACTGAAAAGTATATAAACAATAAGTTGACGATAAACTGGTTTTATGGTAGAAAGTGGACTTTGGCTTATTTTTTCGTCGCCAATTACAATTCACAACTAGTTATAGCTGCAAATGAGTGGGCATGACGGGTGTGTTGGGAGAAAAGAAATGGATGAAACAGAACTTTACTTGGCCTCCTTGATCGTTAGCTGGCTGCTGCCTATCACATTAACATTCTGCAGGTCCGCATTGAGTGCAATGGCATTGTTGGCATCCTGCGTGAATTTGACGCGCTTCAGAAAGAGTGGGTCCATGGAGCCCACTGTATTGGTGCCGGGTATACCATCCTTCCACTGTACGAAAATGCCTTGCAGATTGGTCGCCAGGCATTTGTTAAAATTGGGATCCTCCAAGACGCAGGGTGTCAAAAAATTTGCTAAATCAAAAAACAATATTCGAATATAACAATGATTAAACCAAATATGTTATTGTTGTTCGTACGTTTCTCGGCTAGATAATTGGAGGCCACGGCAAGAGTTGCCAGCATGGATACCAGTAAAAGGCCCAAGAAATTAAAAATTTGTATATTATTCATTATGAGGCTGAGATCCAATTAAAACTGTTAGCTTGGCTTGAAAGCGCCGAATGTTCTGACGTTTTGGCGTAGAAGTCATTTTATTTTATATTCTAAATGAAATGCAGAAATCCAGAAAGCGTAATATATATCTATGTATATAAGTATATATAAATAAATACATACTTATACTTTTATATATTTAATTTGATTTGTTTTCTTTGTCAAGTTCACAGTTTTGGTTTAATTGAATAAACAGTAAACAAGTTTTCGTGCCATTAGACTGGTGCTTAATATACAGGGTGCCCTTTTAATATGAGCATTGTGAAAACGCACTCTGCTCTATGTCCAATTCGCAGCTGAGTGCCTGCTACCCTTGACATCTTTTGACAGTTAAGTTGCAATTACATCTGTGCTACTGTGCGACCTTGACCCTTAAACATTGTTTAGCTTATGTCTGGCTTCTGTCAATTAGCTTAAAGTAAACTGGTTTTGTGAGCTAATATTAATATTACTTTAACTAAAATTCAATGCTATTCTATCAATTAAATGTAAATATTTTGTTCTAATCATGCAGAGAGATTATGGTTTCTTAGAGCTTATTAGCTTATGATATTGGACATCTATTGGTTTTTATACCCTGTAACTATACAAAATTTGTAAAATGCAGTATGTTGTGGTTGTGAAAATATATGTAATATAGTAGAAAGCATATATAATTCCATAGCATCTGAGACTATAAAAGCTAGAAGCTTGTGTGCTCAGAGTTTGTTAACATTATATTATATATTTTCGAAAATTCGCTTGTTCATATTATTCTTGTTCAAATGGATAAATATTGATTTTGAGACTAGGTTTGGTTAATAAGTAGTTGACTTAAGCATCGATTAAGGACTAGAGAAATCTTATTACACGTAGATTAAGAGTACTGCACTTTACCTGTTCTCCAGTTTCTGACCATATGAATAGAAATAACATCTCTTATAGGCATAGCCCATAACTTTGGTATATTTGTACACAATTGGATGACAGATTCGAAATAGATCGGACAGAAATCGGAAAACTTATACAATAGTGAGTTTTTCAAAAGTCTTTTTCGCACATCCGTATGTTTAAATAAATAGAGATAATATAACAGAAATTCGTGCTTGGGAACAGGGTAACTCCGCGTCGAACACATACTTGTTGCAAGTTTCATTAACATCACATATGATTTACTATGCCACACAGATCAAGGTCTTCGGTTGACGGGTTGATAAACTCTCGCTCTGCTTACAACATATGCATAAGCTGAAGTCGAACCGATCAAATAAAAAGTTTTACAGCCATTGCCGAATGCTTTGCTTGAATAGTTTATTTTATTTTGTTGATGACCAGTCCACGGTGAGCAGCCAAGTGAAGCGGTAGCAATGCAGCTCCATATGCCAGTTGCTCTGTGGTTTAGCCTTCTCGCACCACTGTGGCTTGCTGCGGTGCAAGCGCAACAGTTTTTGCAGGAACCACGTGTGTATTTGCCTTATAACTTATTTGTTTTTAAACTGATTTATTGTCTGCTTTTAGCTGCCTTTATCAAGCCATGCCTGTTAAAGGATAGCCTCAGCAACGACTGTTTGACTGCCAACATAGAGAGCCTTTTCCAACACTGGCGTAATGGTAAGCCTTA